TGGTCTACAGCTTTCTTTCACTGATTTATCTCTCCCTGGTTTAGGTATCAAAGCCCTATTTGTATCAAAGAAGGAATTCCTATTTTTCCAAACAATTTATATAAAATTGGAATTGTTCTTTAATGTTTGATATAACTCACTATTTGGTCTTGGTTTGTTTGTTTTTTTCCTTTGGGAATTCACTCATGGCTTATTCACTTTCTTTTTCTGACATTGAGTTATTTAATTTCTCTATTTCTTCCAGTAATCTGGGTATATTATACTTTTCTAAAAAGCTATTTGGGTCATTAATTTCTTTCTTGTTTATCTTTTGGTTAGATCTGAATAGATCTGAGAGAGGAATATTAAAGTTTCCAACTTTTTTATTTTTACTATTTTTCCCTTTAATTTACTTTACCTTTAAGTATTTAGCTGCTATGCCATTCTATGCACACACACACACACACACACACACACACGCACATATAGTTGATATTTTCTATGGTACTTTTAAATATAATGTAGTTTCTCTATTTTAACTGTTACCTTATCTTAAAACATGATTGCTGATCTCATTTGAAATTATATTTTGCCCGGGACCTTTCTTTTAACTCTGAATCTGTTTCAAGTGTATTTCTATAAACATGTTAGATTACACCTCCTAATACATTCTGCTATCTTCCTCTGTCCTAGGGCTGAGTTCATCCCATTTCCTCTTTGCACTCCCCACCCCACCCCACCCCAACCCCATTTACAAAGAAGAGAATATTGAAGAATATGCTCATGTCTACTGATTTATATTTTATGCATTTATATATTTATGCTTCTATTATACCACAATGTGCTGCTGTTCCCCTCGCCTGGACTTAGCTCATAGACTCTTGACCTTTCTTTCATTTCTCTGTCCACCCCCTTCAGGCTTCATACTTCCAAAAAGGGAGTTTGTTTTGCTTAAAACTAATCCTTTCCTGAACCTCCCCCTCCCTCTTAATCCCCAGGTCTCCTCTCCTAGTCCAGTTCCATGTTGAGTTAAAATACCGGATTCTCTCTGTGTGTATATTCAACTCTCTTCCAATTCAGATGAAAATAAGGTTCCTATGTAACCCACTTCCCCATCCCTTCCTCCCTGTTTCTAGTTTTGTTACTGACCTTGTTTATATAAGATTTCCACATAAATTGAAAATTATCTCCTTCCTTCCTCTTTCTACTTAAATATATTCCTTTTCCCCTTTAAGATCACCAAAATACAACAAAAATGTAGCACCTCCTTGCTTTATTTGATTATTTTTCACTCTGGTGCCCTTAATAAACCCTTGCTGGAGTAGTTGTGAGAAAGGGAAAGGGAATAAGCATTTTTATAGTACCTTAGAAGTGCCAGGTACTGTGCTAAAGGCTTCCTCAAACAACATCGGGAGGTAGCAGTTCTCATTATCCCCATTTTACATTTGAGGAAACTGAGGCACACAGAGATTAGGTGACTTGCCCAGGGTTACAGCTAGAAGCTTTAAATTGAGATCCTCCTGACCCCAGGTCCGGGGCTCTCTCCACTGGGTCACCAGCTGCCTCTGAGTGAAGGTAGGATGCTAATGTGCTTCCTCTCACAGCTGCAATCTTTCAATAGCTCATGCTTAGCACTGTGCTAAGGGCTGGGGATACAAGATCAAAGTCAAAGAGGTCCTGCCCTCAAATAGCTTACATTCCAGGGGAGGTGGGGAGGACCACACAAACATATAAAGATATAAAAAAATAAACTCATAACTACAATGAAGGCCTCATGCAGAAGGTGACATGCAAATTGAGCTTTGAAGAAATCTACAGATTCTAAGGCACAGAGATGGCAGTAGATTGTCATGTGAGAGGAGGCAAGGTCAGTTGGAAACATTGTGAAAGGCTTTAGGCAACAGGGACAATGATAAAAAGGGAAGTCCCATTCAAAATACCTTTAAAAATCATAAAATATCAGAATTCAATCTCCATATTCAATGCCTGTATGGATTCAATGACAAAATGCTCCTTAAAGAAATAGGGATCAACTTAAATCATTGGAGAAATATTCAGTGTCCATGGCTATGACATGCCAGTATAATAACAATGACAACACAATCAAAATTGATTGACAGATTTAATGCTATTCCAATCAAAGTGCCAAAGGTATGCTTTGCAGAACTAGACAAATTCATAACAAAATTCATTTACAGGAACAAAAGATTTCGAGTTATCAAGGGATGTAATGAAGTAAGGTAAAGAGGAAGGGAGATGAGAACTTCCAGACCTCTGGCTAGATTATAAAACAACAGTCATCAAAATAATTTGGTAATGGTTAAAAATAATAGAAAAGTAGACCAATGGTCCAGAAGAGAAAAGGAAGAATCAGAAATAATTGAACTCATTAACTGGAGGCTCAATAAATCAGCAAACATAAATTCCTTAGGGAAGAACTCACTATTTGATAAGAACTGTTGGGAAAACTGGAAATTAGTCTGGCAGAAATTAGGTTTGGAATAACATCTTACATATTCTACAACAGATTGAAAATGGATATGTGATTGGTATATTGAAGAAAATGTAATTAAAAAATTAGAAGAGAAGCAGATGATATGCAGGTGTAAGTAAGGAGGTGAATTCTTCACTAAAAAAGAGAGAATTACAAAAGATACAGCAAATAATTTTGAGTACATGTGATGGAAAAGCATTTGTACAAGAAAAATGAACGCTTCTAGGATAAGGGAAATAGTCCACCGAGAAAAAACCTTTGTATTCCTCATCTCTAACAAGGGTTTGTTATACAAGACATATGGAAAATGACTAGAAATAGGCAAGACCAAAAGCCATTCCCCAACTGATAAGTGATTAAAGGATTTGAAAAAAATTATCAAAAGAATCGTATGAAAGAATGCCCCAAATCATTTATAAAAGAAAGGCAAATCAAAAGCCCCCAGAGGTTTTACCTCACATCCAACAAATTGTCAAAGATGCCAAAAGATGGGAACAGTCCATGTTGAAGAGGCTGTGGAATGACAGGTGAACTAATGCATTACTGGTGGAGCTGCAGATTTCTACTTATGCAAACAAACAATTTCTAGTTACATAAATAAAGTGATTTAAATACTCATACTTGTCCCAGAGATGTCACTGTGAGACATTTACTCCAAGGAGGTCATTGACCAAAACAAAGGCTCTATAAATACCAAAATATTTATAGCTGCATTTTTGGGGGTAGCAAAGAATCAGAAACAAATAGACGCCGATCAGTTGGCAAATCGGTAAGCCAACTGTGCCCCTGTGCTGTAAGAAATGATTGATATGACGAACAAACTGAAAAACGGATTGCCGAGGACAGAGTAGAGCCAATGACCACAACGTGAATGGGAAGGAGCTAAATGATGAGAAACCGAAAGGCTGAGGTCGGCCCCAAAGAGGCGACCCCTCCCCCACTCCCCCCCCCCCCCCCCGCCAAGCGTGTGGCTTCATTTTGTTGGCGTTTCTTCCTCCTTCTTTCCTCTCCTGTATTCCTTGTAGAAGGGCTGCTCTCTGGGAGGCAGCGGTGAGAAAAGGGGGCGAGGCAGAGAGGAACATAGGAGGTGCCAGCCCGCAGCTCGTGTTTGACCCCAGCGGTAAGAGGGCTCCATTGGAGTGCCGCAGCCAGGCCTGCGCCTTGGGAAGGTCATTTTGGTGCCTGGTGGCGGGTAGACGGGGAGGGGAGAGCCTGGAGGCAGGACGACCATTAGGAGGCCACAGTCCGCTAGAGGATCTCCCCTCCTGTCTGGTTCATTGTAACCCCAAAGGGAACCAGAGCCATCTGGGGCCACAGAGACTGAGCCATCCAACGGCGATGCACATCGCTGTGTGGCCTCCGGGGAACACTGCGATTTTCCTTTCTTTCCTGTACAGTAAAGGGCAAGCCACCCTGGAGAGTGGAGGCCTCAGACCTCGGCCACTTTGGGCCAGCAATGGTCAAGGTCAGCTGGGGCACCGGGACCCAGCCTGCCGCTCACATCTGGCAGCCAGCTCTGGCCACTGCTGGGGAAGCCCTGCTGAGCGGCATCATGCCGGCACAAGCATGAGAGC